AGTAACCGGAGTATCAGCTAAAATCTGGGAACTGAACGCAATCCTATCTGACTAGCCTCGATCGCTGATCGTCTCAGTTCATAAGAAAAGAACAGAAATCAGTTCAATTAGTGTCTAAAATATTAGCCTCAGTAATGCTTGGACGTCTAACTAGAGTTCGTCGTGAGCGAACCAGGCTGGTTTCAGACCTAGACACGGATGTATGGATGAAATACTCACCCTTCAGTAGGTTCTGCATTATACTGGAGTTCCAAATAATTTAACAACAATGAAAACTTTTAGCTTTTAACGTACCAGGATTTTTAGGTTCACCGCCAAAAAGTGCCAGTGCAATGCCACGTTTAATATCTTCATGACCATACACACTTGGAGCTATGCTAGCAAAAATTCGATCACCAATCCTTTCATCACGTGAAAGTTTCAAGATCGCCCTTGTGTCCTCGTCAGTTAATGTCCCCACAGCGACCTGCATATATAAAACAAGACCGAAATCCACTCACCTTATCATCTTTACGAACAACGTTGTTTGCTAATATGACAGTTGCAAAGACTGGAAAACCGTGCTTAGTATTGAGTGATCCATCATAGCTATGTGTATATACCCCAGTTAACTCCTACAATTGGACTCATGATTGACTGAATTGAAATACGACTCACTATTTCATCCCCCGGTTTGCAGCTGTCAACCAGATCATCTAGAAGAATAGCGTCTTTGGACCTAGGAAGACGACCTGCTGGAACTTTGCCTGGGCTTTCTTGAAGAGTGATACGTTGATAATTTCTATAAACAGTCTGAAAAATAATTCAGAAATTAGATGTGGAAAGTCGTTATCATGAATGAAGCAGGCAAACACGTTACTATAATACATTCGGTATTTATAGTAATGACTAAGCTATGTATATGTTGGCAGTATTTACCACTGTTTTTCTGTTTACCCCACAATTTCCTGGAGGATTGTTATTTGGTCTAGAATTTTGCGACAGAATGTTTAGAAAACTTAGGAAAAATCCCCTATTCAAATTTTCATCAAAAAAACATGTCTTAGTCGAGGTGTCTGACGGAAGTTTTGGACAAATCAAATCACCTATTCCCAATTAGTCATCAATAAATTTGTACAAAAATTATTACAAGATGCCTTCTGTCAACGAAATACATCGTGACTGACAGATATAAGTGATCGGGACATGATACATTCTCGTTCAGATAAAAGTGCTAAGATTGTGACCATGGATCAAGAAAGTGATGCTCATTGTCTACTACATTCAGAGATGGAGGCACTTCCAATAAATAAACCGTTAAGAGACGACACATATCTACATCACAGATTTAAAGACTAAACTAGAGTAGAAATAATTCGGGAAGAAATCTTTGAACGCCTCAGAAGTGCTCATATTTACGCAACAAATCCACTGGTAAGATAAATCACTCAGGTCATTCAAGACAGACATAGGAACCATTTTACCTGAAATTATATCTTCAAGAGTCCAAACAATATGTGAAAAGTATGAAGTCAAGGAGTATACATGTTTCTTTTCATTCCAATAAGATTTGCACATAATTCGATACATGGAACAATGAAGAAGTATAGTGTAGACCAATACTTGATATCATTTTAGTCAAACTGATGCTCGTGAGGTTATCACAAGTGGACTCTAGTCGCTAATATGAAGATGTCAGCTAACAAACTCGTCTCTAACAGCAAGCACTATCCAGTGGCGACCCACCCCCAGTAAAACCAAAATTTTTCGGTGATGTAGACACTGAAAGCTCTTTAGCAAGGTCCCCAGTATATGAACTGCAGTTTTTATATGTTGTTGCTGGTCTTTCGACTATGTTATTTAGGAGTTTTCATTGTGTTGACCTGGCTTCTGGATGCTTAGTTCATTTGGTTATATTAAACTCATATAACACACAGTGAACATAAGATTAAATCTTACGAAAATAAGAGTAAAACAATTAGAAAAGTCGAAAAGTGACTACCTGTTCCATGCATAGTTCAAATGGACCTCCTGACTGGCAGTCTGGACAGGTAGAAGGTTTGACCTCTGAGCCTGTTTGGTTTTGAACGAATGGGCCCAAAAGGCACCCACATTTCGTACAGTTGTAGCGGACTACACTCAACTGAGGCAGGACACCAGAACTGCTTGTAACTACTCCACATGTTCGGATAAGTTGGTTAAGATGAAAATGACGAAGACATCGGAGGTCCTCAATGAGAGGAAGGTCGTTTATTCTGACATGGACTCGATTAGTGATTCTGTCGTAACGAGGGAACCGAGTCAATGTGACTTCACGAGCAGCCTAGTCGTATTAGAACAGAAAGCTGACTTTACCTCGTCAAAGATATCTAAGACATGTTGTGGGGCTTCTGGTAAAAAATATGCTAGGACTTGCTCCGCCGACGCCAGGTGTTGGTAATCAATATGCAGACTATGTTTGTTCTCTCTCGCCATTTGTACTATACGCTCAGCGTATACGTTCCGATCGTTTTCGTCCAAAAACGTTCTGAGAAATGCTTTAAAACGGTTTTTGATTTCTTGACGAGTGACAGGTTGCTGAACCCATTCAACGACAGACATTCCCTTCATATCCTCCAAGTTTTCGATACTTTCCAGCACACCTTCAGGTTCTAAATCACCTTCATCACCTGCAGCTACTCTCTCCGCAATACGCCTACGACGCGCAGGAATTATTTCTTCCTCCTCCTCCTCACCGTACAAATCTGAGTACATAGCTAGCATAACTTATACTCTTACCGGCTATAAGATCACGCCTAAGTCCGCCAGTCGCAAGCAGACGCTCACGGTCCCGTCGTCTCATTTCACGTTCAGCTTCAGCGCGAGCATTCGGTGATAATTCCTCTAGATCTTCATCGGGGTCTGCAAGACCTTCTGCCTCATAGACGTCAAGCTCCGGGATAGGACTGAGGAAATTGGACAGAGATTAGAAATTTACCGATAATCACGCTCCATATCGTCACCGAATAAATTCTCTCCGGATTCCTCTTCTTCATCAAGATTGTCATCACCCAGTATGGCGGCGGATTCATCCTCGAAAGCAGGTTCCTCTGGATCCGGGCTTGCTGCACCTGAAAGCCCACCACCATGGCGACCTGATAAATCTGAGTTCTACTTCTGTCAAAGCACTTGTCTCAAGCACTTACCGACATTTACAAAAATTCAAAAGTCGAGAACTGGGCGCCTGTAGGTTATTTCGACTACTTTAAATCCAACTGGATATTGAACTTGAGTAGATTTACTGGTCGCATGTAAGATATGCATTTTCAGAAAGACCACTAACTCGCGACATACGGAATTATGGGGCATTGACAAACTAAAAATTATCAGTCCTTGTGCATAATTTAGTACAGATAGTAGGTTTCTCTCAAATTTACAAATAGTTGTGAGTGTTTTTGGACGGAATGAAAACAGCTTCTGTGTCTGGTAGAAATGGTTCACAGACACATCAGGACGTTCGCGATATTCCAGAATATTACATGGTGACCCCTAAGCATTCTATATCTTGAGGGATATACATCTGGTGTTTTCATGTTCAACTCATTTGAATTTGAAACTCAGTACTCAGGAGTATTTGATTACTGTTCTCCTAAAAAGTTCCAAAGTGTTCTTGTCTATATGGACGTGTTGAACAATGAATTAAGAAAACTTTTAGAAGCACATGAGATAATGTTCAACAGAAATTCTCGTTATTATCTATTGAGGGGGCAAATAGATCCACAAAATAAATGGTTATGTAAGTCCTCGACATAGATACTGACATTATTTACCCTAATTGACACAACGTAACTGAAGACATTAAGTCGAGCATACATACCAGACCACGATCGTGTACGCTATGCTAAGCATTCTTCTCAACAATCATTCGGCTGAAATCACATGTTTGTGTATAAGGGATAAGTGGTCTTTATACAAAATCGACAACAGACACAAGGCAGACGCCAATCGCTGACAATATTCTAAGTGATCATAGACACTGGGCAGTTCATGGTCTGCTTGATGGTCGAATCGCTCCTCAATCTATCATGATCTGAAACGGATTAATAAATTAGCGTCTCCAGTTAAGCTGCGTCCACTAAGTTAAACGGCGTAAGCATTAATGTCGAAGACTTACAGAAATATTTACGACACAATGCAAACGTTTATGCCATCTCTTAACGGTTTATTTATTGGAAGTGCCTCCATCTCTGAATGTAGTAGACAATGAGCATCACTTTCTTGATCCATGGTCACAATCTTAGCACTTTTATCTGAACGAGAATGTATCATGTCCCGATCACTTATATCTGTCAGTCACGATGTATTTCGTTGACAGAAGGCATCTTGTAATAATTTTTGTACAAATTTATTGATGACTAATTGGGAATAGGTGATTTGATTTGTCCAAAACTTCCGTCAGACACCTCGACTAAGACATGTTTTTTTGATGAAAATTTGAATAGGGGATTTTTCCTAAGTTTTCTAAACATTCTGTCGCAAAATTCTAGACCAAATAACAATCCTCCAGGAAATTGTGGGGTAAACAGAAAAACAGTGGTAAATACTGCCAACATATACATAGCTTAGTCATTACTATAAATACCGAATGTATTATAGTAACGTGTTTGCCTGCTTCATTCATGATAACGACTTTCCACATCTAATTTCTGAATTATTTTTCAGACTGTTTATAGAAATTATCAACGTATCACTCTTCAAGAAAGCCCAGGCAAAGTTCCAGCAGGTCGTCTTCCTAGGTCCAAAGACGCTATTCTTCTAGATGATCTGGTTGACAGCTGCAAACCGGGGGATGAAATAGTGAGTCGTATTTCAATTCAGTCAATCATGAGTCCAATTGTAGGAGTTAACTGGGGTATATACACATAGCTATGATGGATCACTCAATACTAAGCACGGTTTTCCAGTCTTTGCAACTGTCATATTAGCAAACAACGTTGTTCGTAAAGATGATAAGGTGAGTGGATTTCGGTCTTGTTTTATATATGCAGGTCGCTGTGGGGACATTAACTGACGAGGACACAAGGGCGATCTTGAAACTTTCACGTGATGAAAGGATTGGTGATCGAATTTTTGCTAGCATAGCTCCAAGTGTGTATGGTCATGAAGATATTAAACGTGGCATTGCACTGGCACTTTTTGGCGGTGAACCTAAAAATCCTGGTACGTTAAAAGCTAAAAGTTTTCATTGTTGTTAAATTATTTGGAACTCCAGTATAATGCAGAACCTACTGAAGGGTGAGTATTTCATCCATACATCCGTGTCTAGGTCTGAAACCAGCCTGGTTCGCTCACGACGAACTCTAGTTAGACGTCCAAGCATTACTGAGGCTAATATTTTAGACACTAATTGAACTGATTTCTGTTCTTTTCTTATGAACTGAGACGATCAGCGATCGAGGCTAGTCAGATAGGATTGCGTTCAGTTCCCAGATTTTAGCTGATACTCCGGTTACTTAAACTGCTAGAACTGGATCACCGTCCTTAAAAATTTCGAGTTGATCCATCAGGTCCTGTTGTTCTCCCTCGCCTTAGATTACTCATAGCCTTTTCAACTTCACTAAGAGTTGGAGGACTCGCACCAGGTTGCTTGGTGTTATTGGGTAACTGAGATGTGTCTGAAGGCGAGTTGAGGTGTCCTTTAAAGTGTGCTGTACATCGGTGCAATCTGGATTGAGAGTATGTAATAGTCCCGTCTTTCTCCGAGACAGTCACTAACAGCAGGGTTCTGAATATCCGTTTCCTTGAAAAGTCAGAACAGTTATCTATCACCGCCGCCTCCCATCTCTTCTGTTTTCGTTACTCACGATCATCACGTACGCTTAGTCGGTTCACATTTAAGCTGCTTCCGCTCCTCTTCGTGTTCGGAGCCAGACGAGATGAGTTTCCGAGTACCTGTCAGTTCTGTAGACACCGCTGGAAGCCACTGACTTTTCCTAACCTTTTGCTTTGAGCTACTGGTGGATACCACTGCTGTCTCTACTTGTTTTTGGATATCTTTGCACGATACCTCTTGTTATGTTTTTGTTGTTTTCGCACTTTGAACAGCTTCATCGCTGGAATCGGAAACCGGTATGTTATGATACGTAATGTTCAATTTAATACTTTCCTTCTCTCTTGAGAAGTCTGCGTTGTATTATATTGTGTTGTCGCAATATAAACTCGTTTCTGCTGTCGTGGCTTACTTCAGTTAATAGTTTGTCGTGGCGTCTTAGGTTTATATTGATGCTTTCAGTCATACTATTTACTAACCGCCCTGTCTGACATCATAGGTCCTAAAGGAGGATTTGTGCTGTGCAGTGTGTTTCGGTCGAGTCATCGTTAGGCTAATAGTTATTGACGGCTCTTAAATTTGATCCCTCGTCCTATAAGTTCCCATGACATTTATTTTTAGTGGTATTGGACCATAATCACACAATCCTCAAAGCTGAAAACGAGACTAGTCGGAAAATAAATATTTAATATTTAACGCGGAGAAATACCTAACGATGGAGAAGGCGCGAGCATCGAATTGAGTGAATTGGGCTTGTTCGGATGGCATGGCTCGGCCATGCAGGCGTGGTCCCTCTGAATGTTACCTTTTATCTTCCATTCATATTAAATATATTGTTCCTTCTCTAGGCGAACCATGTTCTACATCATGTATTGGTAATTGATACGATACAGTGAGTTGGTGTAGTCGATGGTGTGACTTCCACGTAAGATCTTATAGATTAGGCAGTTATATCATGACAAATATACAATTTTAGGATTAGGTCTATTATTAGAGCAGTACTAAAATCATAGTAGACCATAATTCTACATATTCACTGGTCTGCACGGTCGATGGAGAGATGTGAGAGACATAGTTACATACATTTACCTTTTCGAACTAATGCAATTATCACCAGCTACTACATAATTAATCATCAGGATCTTATCGTTATTTTTGTTCTACATCAGAACTGTCTGGGGTGTCAAACATAATTAATGTTAGGTGAAGAACATTTTTCAGCATACTACTGAAGGGAATATGCTTTACATTAAGAACTTTTTTTCATGGGGAAAAATGTTTATAAATTTATAAACAAGTGCGGTCTCATGGACCGAAATTAATTTTGATCGAAATATTGAGATGAAGAATGACTGAAATTTATTTTCATAGAGGAAGATTGTATTTTTACTCAAGAATTTGAACGCATGTAGAGATTCTGTCTAAGTCAGGAACATTTTGGAAGTGATGTTTGAAAAGAATACAAAGACAAACAATAAGATACAGGTGCCGAATAAACAGAATGCAAGTTACGATCACAACAAACCTAAAACAAAATATTTAATGAAGCTTTCAGATTTCTTCAAACACAGGACCTAAAGTCATCTATTTCACCGCTTAAAAGTATCTGCAATTTTATTCAAAGTTTCACCATCATCAAAAAGTTCATATTTGTTTGCAATGTCTTTGATTTTTTCAACTAAGTGATGTGCAGTTTCTTTTTCACTATCTAGCAAACAATCGACTGCTAAAGAAAATTGTTTAGACCGTTGAAAACTTGCAAGAATCATAGAAACCTTGGATATTACGATGCTGATATTACAATCAGATGATGACAATATAGTGTCCGTGTTATCAACAGAATGATTTAATACTGAAAGTATTTCAGGTAAAAACGACACACCCAGTCCAGTGTTAAAAAGATTTTCCAATAGTTCATTATCTTGATTGAACAATAACTCCAATAAAGCACCATTTGTATTAATGCTGTCTGACGTGGAAGATGATTTGATATGACGCCACTGTACAATGAATTCCTGTGGAGTGGTAATGGACTTTGTAGCCTGCAACAAAGCCAAAATATGATACATATAAGAACAGTTTATTTGCGGATTATGTAAAAACTGGACAAACTTAAAGGCTAATAAAAATGCATTTTTTGGTACGAAAAATTGTATCAGAACTACCGGAAAAATTTTGTATCAAACCGTAGTTTCTGATAAAATGAAAGTAGCATAAATATTGATAGCATTTAATGTATTCATATATATAATACATGCAATAGAAACAAAGAAACGTGTTTCACTTAAAATCAGTAAAATAATAGGATAAACTGACTATGCATAGGACTTAAAACTACCCCCTATATTACTATTTTAGGATCAGTCAATATTTAGTAATTATACAAATTCATTTTTCATAACTGGTTGTTAGAACCATGCGGCACTCTCAATCGCTCAACCTATTTTTGTGCCACGATCTTTCAGTGTTAAGTGAAGAGAATACTTACTGGAATAGGGGATAGTGAAGAATTTATATAGAAATCGCACATATTTCAGTAAATAAATGGCAACATTTACCTATACACTCTGCTGTTACAGTACATATTTAGCTGGAGGACAAGAACATTTATGAAGTTGAATTTATTCATAAGTTTTTTCTTCAACTGAAAATACAGAACAATAGCTAAGTTCATTTAAATTTTTGATGCTTATTTTCTTTTTATCCCACTCTCCTTTGTATATTACTTTATACCACTTATTCGAATTCAGTAACACTTCTCATAACCCTTGAGCACCCTGGGTAGCATACATATGATATCACACATTCCTAAGTATTCACGTTGGCCGATAACACCCAGGTTATTTGCTATCGCGATCGCTTCTTATTAATACCTGCTACAGGTATATTCGATTCCAGTGTATCTGTTAAACGTTGGTTTTATTGTAACGGTTTCCACATCTTGTTGTTCGTCGTTCTCATTTTGAAATGGTCTACCAGTATTATCACTTCATTCTGCTTAGAATATTTGTTGACATTTCACTGTTTCAAAATATTTTACGTTATAAATAAATAGCATATCCCTGAGAGAGATATATCCATCAATACCCTAATAGTGTTTGAAGTAACTAGAGGTGAGTACTTACAATAGCTGAATTCATTTCAGGTTCCATAAACAAGCTATTATTACTTGATAATATTGCTGAATAGTTCCAGCTGGACTTTTGACCAACAGTATTGGTTAGTTCTAATCGATCCAAAGGCTTCAAGTGGCATCCAGCGACAAGCTCTCTAAGGAAAAGAAAGTGAGACAGCTTCGGTCGATAGATAAGCCAATCAAAATTTTTCAAGTGCTTAGATTATTCTATGCAATCTATTTACATTGCAGCTGTTATTTGCAAAAGTGTTGTAATATTTTTTAGTACTGAATCAATTTTGAGAGCTGGCAAAAGGGATAGGACTATTAAAATACAATAGATATATGCAGAGTTTGACTGTACTGGTTGGAATGTAAACTCCTTTACTTTCAATAAACTAGTAAGAACAAGTATTCCAAACTAAAATCAGTTTATTTTATGCGGCTCACTATCGGACTACAGTAGATATTTAAACTGGAGCTAATGGTCAAAAATAAGAAACCATTTAATTCTGTATCGTTCCTTTACCTATGCAAACAAATAACTAGTAAAATACACAAGTCTATGCAGTATAATATATTTTGTTCAATGAAAGTAACAGAGAAATCATTCATTCACGATCCTGTTTGCAACGGTTCGTAAAGTCTGTCATAGAGACGATGAAACTATTTAAAAATGTAGTAAGAAAGCGTAAAAACAAGGTTCTGAGATGTAATCTACAGAATACCAGTTTTGATTAGTCAAAAAAGACAACAGCGAACAATTTAAAGGAATTACATATACCTACGATTAAAAAAATCAGCTTTTACAGTATAAAAATTGATATGGATAAGATATCCGAAAAATAATACATATCCCAATAGGGTGAGCGATTTAGATGAGAATTAGTATGTATGTTCATTTTGTAACAGAAGTCAACTGAAGCTTAAGTACATCTGTGGTGTGTGCTACTGATGTCGACAGATATAAGTAGTATGTATCATCAATCGAAAGTGAAATACCTGGTGGCAGAGGGTTAAGAAGATCAAAGAAAATAGAACGAGAACAGAGAGTGATTGGTGTGGAAACGAAAGAACAATGAATTCTGAGACGACTGACTGATATTTTGCAAGTGAATTATATACTGTATGGTTCTCAGATTTTACTAAGATGTTCTGTAATTTTGTATTCAAACACATGCAACTGTCCCCATTTATGTTCTCGTTCAGTACATATCGTTTAAAAAAATTCTCAATAACATTACCGGAATTCTCTTAAATATGTGCTAAAAATGCAAAAATTTTATTGTCGTCCTTAAAGTCGATTTATAAGAACGATGAAATTTAACCTCGTATTTAAAAAGCTGCTTCGAAAAATTAATCACGATTATCCCTAGTACACAAATCAAGAAGCCTGAACAACTGGACGTGGTCTCAGTTTAACAATTAGTGACTTCACTGCCTGACATATATTTATTTGATCGTCACTAGCCTTCTTTTATTATACTTTGACATTAGATGGGGGCAAGAAACTATTTCTAGATAAATAGTGGGATTAAATTTTTTTAAGACTAAAGTAGATTGATTCAATAAACCATTACTCACTTCTATTACATACCAAGTTTGTCCACCATCAAAGATTACCGAGTCTGAGTTTCAAATTTTCCGATGGATTTTAGGTATGTGTTTACACACAAAAAAATACGCAACGTAATTATTACTTCTTGGGTGTATTCCCATATACATCTGAATTAGTAAATACAGTGACATAACTATTCAGTGTTTCCAGGCTTTCAATGGTTGTCTAGCTCAAATTGACTCGTGAATTCAATTGTGAATACATATATTAATAAAGTTTGATGACCAGTAAAGCATTATTTGTTTTCACAAAATATTTCGTATTCCAATTAACGTGATAGAGAGTTCATCTTCATTTATCGCTTACGTTTGATTTCGTGTTCAATCAATAATCAACCGTTATTCAATAACCTATACGGTATCATATCCGTAATAGATTTTTTAATGTTACGGCTTTATTTCGTCAAAAATAATTCAGCCAGAGCAATAATATTTTCATTTTCAAATAGATATTTGATTGACAATTTGAATACCACAACATGAGTATATATTTATTTAATATTCTGTTAACTATAGCAATAATACAATCTAAAAAGAAATTCTGATGTGTCCATATCTAGAAAAGCTCACAACAATCAGGCATCGTGAAACTGATGGCGAAAAGAAAGTGTAATTCAAATTGGACAAATAATGAAAGAAATGTCAGGAAAAAGTAATATTATCAATGCATACATAAAAATCTACTTTATGTTACTAACCTAAAATCATCATATGTTGGAACTCCTTGTTGAACAGCTCTAATTTTTGCATCATTTTCAAGCCAATATCTAGATTCTTTAGCAATAGCTGAATCCATTTCTTTTTCTAAGTTATTCATATTAATACCCAATTGTTTCAGATAATTATCATTTTGTTCAACCATCTTTCCAACTCTATTGTTATACAATACGATTTAAATAATTCAAAAAAATTAATATATACTACACAAGTAAAGTGAGTATTTTTATAGAGGGATATGTATATCATGAATTTCTTACAATGAAACTTTCACAGTCAACATATTTTAGAGAACAACCAATTTAAATCTATTTAATGTCAGGAGTGTTAGACAATATGGAGGGTAAATCACTTTATGTAATAGTTAAACGGATTTGAATGTTCGACAGTTGAACAAATCTATTGTCACGTTCTTATTGTAAAAAGAACGTTACCTAAAAGATAAATCTTTAGATTAGTGTCAACTGCTTTGAGTAGTGCAACGACTAAGTGGTCTTCCTGTCGTTTATGCTCGTAAAGATAAAGGCGCCTTAGCATTTATAGAGTATTTAACACAAACATTCTAAGTTTCCTTTTTATATGTAATATTTATGCTTTTTAGCCTTTAATACATATCTTCTAAAAAAGAAACTATGGTTCGAATAACAAATACTACACAATTTTCTGTTTTCTTTGTATCCCATCAATTTAAATGATCTGAGTATTTAGGACATATATTTACGTTTTCTGAGTTAATGTTACAATGCCTAGGAATTTACAATGAATATAGCAGTCATTGTGGTGCATCCAAACAACTAAATAACTACAAAAAAAAATCGTTCTATCATATGAAGTATTATCACACATGTAGCCGCAATCTAAAAATTTTTATAAATAAAACATAACCTAAGGTAATCAATTCAAGGTATAGGGAAGAAAATTATAGAGAATTAAATTAAACTGCCTTTTTTTCAGAAAGAAGTTAACACTTTGAAAGTTTTCTAGAAAACAAAATAACCTAAAAATAAAAGAGGTGAAACTTAATGTTTAAAGCTCAATCTGTCATTAGATTACCTAATATCATACTACTTAGTTCACAATAGTGGTCGAAATATGTCTATCAATTAAACTTAATGCTGGCTGGCATCAAGAAGCTTAAAACCCACAAACCAGTCAACAGGTTGTTGCAGATCGTTTACATTCAGTTTCCTATTAATTTTTGTGCTAGTGTGTTTTATATTAAAAAAGATTAAGAGTTAACAAATAATACCGTTTTCAACCATCAGGTAAATATGGAAGTGCAATATGGATAGGAACTCAAATGAATCAGTAACTTGAAGACATATATATGCATCACATTGACTTTGAAATCAGGAGCTTACCATTCTCCCGTAAAACACAACAAATACGCAGTAGGTTTAATAGGCATCACATTGAATAATATTGTGTTAAACATAATTAATAATCCAGTAAATATTCTACCGTTACTGAAACAATAATCTTTCCGAAACTATTCAGTGTATAATTGGTTCTTACGGTTAAAGTGATTATTAGCTTCATATGAAAGTCATCTAGCTAAGAAGAATTATGTTGTTAAAATAGAACAGAATAAACAATTAGACCAAACACCTTTCACACAGCTGTAAGATATATTAATGAGGAACTATCTTGGCAAACAGCTACATGAGAATAGGAGAAGTTGCCAACCATCTTCAAAAGATAATTTTGCGCAGTGAGAAATCAAACAATACAGAACGTAAAGCACTGAATATATCTAGAGTAGACATATGTTGCTCAGCGAGCATTATTCTGTAATATATAACAAACTCCATTGTTCATTAAACTTATGGCATAGGAGTTGATAATGGAAATTGGAAATGTGAGATATATATAAGTATTTCATCAGTTTTTAAAGCATGAACAACAATGCTGCAAAAAGCGTATGTTTCAAAGCAGTATTGTGACACATTCTATTCTGTTTTATCTAGTTGATCAACTTTGTTTTTTTTTCATTCCAATTCAACAACCAATGTTATCAAATTCATTTACTGTTACAAAAAATTTAAGTGACAGGAACGTTTAGTTCCAAAAAAGGTTGCTTCATTTTAAAAACAAAGATCATGTAGCACATCGAAGCATTGTAAAGTATTTCAATAAAATTATGAGAAGACGGAGTTGATGGGACAAATGTGATGTATTTGCGCTATACATTTCAAACAATCTGGTCACATATACCTCCCAAGGCATTTTATATGAAAATTAATAAAAGTCAATTAAATAAAGATTCCTTGGAAGACATATTCGAAATAACTGGTCTTCTTGATGACACTAATATTAAAGAAAAGACTATGCATTCTTTTGATGTAAACTCTTTTTACAAATGTAACTTTAGCCAAGACTGTTGGTTTTCTTTGTGACCATACATCGAGTAATTTCCACTTTTTTCTTATTCACTCAACACTGTTGAAAGAACCACTTTTATTGTGTACCGCGAAATTTCAATTCACATTTGAAAGCGAAAATTTTCGACAAGTTGATGGTGTTGCTATGGGTAGACCTTTAAGACCTCCCTTAGCTGATATATGTATGTCATATGTTGAAAGTATAACGAGTGAGCTCTTCAACGAAGTAACTTTGTATAGGAGATACATGGGTGATATTTAGTCATATGTGGTAAAGACTTCGTTGCTGCTTAGTTATTGCATAAACTCAATAGCGTACAGAATGATTCGTAATGACCAATGAAGAAAGTAATAATCGATTACTATTTTCGGATACGGTATTGGTCAGTTTGTAGGAAGCCAACCTGAACTGAGCAATATCCAAATTTTCCTTTTCTGTCCATCGCAACACAATTATGGCTTGATAAAGTGCCTTTTCAACAAGACTCAAAGAATATGCACTACAGATACATTTGAAGAAGATGCAAAACTGCAACGTGACACACTGATGTCAAACGGTTATCCACTAATGTCTGTAAATGGATGCGAAATTCAGTCGACACTAAAACCTCTCTTTAATTATGTTCCGAAGAAAACTGTTTATTTCTCTCTACCACATAGTAGTGAATCAAGCAGTATGGTTTTAAGACAGACTAGAAGTACCGATTGAGCAAACGATATTAAGCTCCTAAACTGGTTGTGATTGGAAGTACTAAGCCAATGACTCATATGTCTAGGTATGAAATGTATGATCACGTCATGTTTGTGTGGACACAAATACATAGGGAGGAATAATCGGACAATTATCACTTCGTTTGCTGAATCTTCATTTAATTGACCTATATCAATTTTCATATAAAATGTCTTGACAAATACACGTATGACTAGATTATTCGAAATGTATAGCGCAAATACATCATATTTTTCACATAAACTCCGCCTTATTGCTCTGTAGAAATTTATAAAATGGAAAAATTTCTTGATATTCCAACAGTATAACTGACAAGAAGCAAACATTCACAACTGAAGTGTAAAGAGATACAGATTAATAGAATAATTTTATTATCTGAAAAAACATATCAAAATAAAGTTATTCAGAATATATACATAATATAGTTTCATTTTACTATACAAATAAGTTTACTACAGAAATAGTCATTATTCGACAACACCTTGATATATACAAATAATTAGGTGGATTTAACACGTTTGCGCCATGTGAACTTTTCAGATGCACTTAACTCATCCCATCTAGATAGTAGTTGCTCAGCTAACCAATCTTGAGTTGGTGGAGCATTGAACGCTGTACGATGTTCACGTTTTAAAGATGGACCAATATGCTTTGCAAATAGTCTAAACGCAGAACGTATTAATTCAGGATCGTCACAATCAATATTTTCTTCATCTATATGTCCGGCAGAAGAACGCTTATAAAGAGATGGTCGATTATCATTAGCATGAATATTTGAAACACTAGATACATTTTCACACGTTTGTTTCACATTATCTTGAACTACTCGAATTTCATGCATACCTAAGGAAGAATTCTTTGAATTTGTACAATGTGACAAATTATTAGACTCTTTAGTTGAATATTTAGCTTCTGTAAAAGACAATAAATTACTATCAACTAATTCATCAAATGGGATAACAGATTGATAGTGTAACAAATATTCCACGATTTTCTCATCATCAAGTGAATTAACAACGGAAGATGTTTTAAGTGATTCAACCTCCACCAGAAGATCTCTTAAACACGATGCTAGTACACACGATTCAAGTACTAAGTTGGTATTATTCAACTTTATTTCCTCAATATGTTGCTCCAACAATTCACAGGCTTTCAAACGCCAATCTAACTTAATTTCACCAGAATTGAGTATTTCTTCACCATGTTGATCTGATATATCTGATGACACAGAACTATTCATACCATAAAGTGACTAATAAAAATCCACCTAAAATCAAAAGGAATACATAACAAGTAGGAAAGTAAGTAATAACTAAAATGAATAAAGTTAACAATCATTCAGGTTTAACGAAACACAATTTGTATCTGAGTGAAATGAAGTGGTTAAAGTTATAAAAAATTTCTAAGAATAACCACATGTTTCTGAACTAGTAGCAGTAGAATCATTTACCCGATATTCGACCAAATGTCCTATAATTAGCCAGTTCCATTAGAATATTTGGTGAGCGAATCTTTTTCAGTAAATAAACAAAATGAGTTTTCTTGTTGCATTCTAAACGATTTTTAAGATCCGAAAGTTTAGCTCAAATTAAACAGATTCTGAATAACGTGAATTGACAAGAAACCCCGACAAGATTTTGTTCAGTCTTCTTTTAATGCCTCTTAGCTGTAACCGTAATCATTCGAGTATTAGTAGATTAGAATAACGCTAATTTGCCAGATTTAGTCATAAAAACTGTTCAGTTATATATATATATATATATATATATATATATATATATATATATATATATATATAACCCTTGATTTTATAACAATAGTGTTAAATTTAGAACCAAACACTCATGTGACTTAAGTCGTGATGCTTTTAAAACACAGCCAATCATACGTAAAGAACAAAACATTATCATCAAGCATTGTTAAATCAGTCATAAAGCACTGAAAAATCTCTTTGTCGGTTAAAAATAAAATAGCATTTTATTGCATCACAGTAAATAGATTTAATACACAGATAGATTAATAAGTAAAAACATCATAACAGCAACAAATTGGGATCATACATGAATACAGACGGAAGAAAATATGGAGCTTATAATGATACAAACCAAAATCAGTGGACAAAAATGAGATGAAATACATGAAATGCTTCATAAATATACAAAATATATATAATCACAAAATATTTGATTATAGGAGGAAACGAAACGAATTCGATGTTACATCACAACGATTACAATGGGATTTTAAGAGCGGGTAAACATGGATTGATACGATTCATCCAGAAATTAGCACATGATATATGATAGCAACGACCAGCTAGATTAATATAAACTAAATGATAGTTAGTTTGTTGGTGTTGAGAAAAACTGGATGATTCATTGCAATGATTATTAACACACAGGTCATTAGTCAAGCTGATCGATGAAAGACAAACTCCGCAATATGAGGACGTGGTTGAATTAATGAAGTCTTGAATAACGAATTCATTTTCTGATGTTGAAACAAAATTAAAAGCCTGACCAATTTTATTCTGAAATCCAAGGAAGTTCATTACAAGTAAAAATGAAGTTTAAATAACTTTTCAATAAATGGTAAGGTTAAAAAATATAAAAAATGACTACTGGAAAATGGATTTTTTCCCCCAAATATGATCGGTATCAGTCAAGGAAGATTTCAAAGTTTACATATTTATTCATTAAGCTGTAGACACTAATTTGAATTCAGTGCTTTAAAACCCTAGAAGACATCCCGAAATTTTCGACAAATACTCAGGGCGTGTAACGATACTTTAGAAACTCTCACAGATCATTAGAAATAACAATTATTGTTTTAAAGCAACTAGTTCCTTTGATAAGTGTTGATAGCGTTATAAGAAGACGTCTTCTCATTACACTATCCAAATTATTATTTTGTTGTCCCTGTTTAAAAAAACAGGTAACCAAGCACATTGAGCCCTGTAATGGATAAGGTTCACCAAAAATGCCGAATTGAGGTTTCTATCATTAGATAGATAAAGGATATCAATAGGAAGTATTGTAACTGCATATTAGTAGACAGATTATAGGGAAAATCGATATTATATACGGAATATCTACTACAGAGTTCGTTATAACTTTATGCAAACTCAACAGAAAGAGTAAATTCATTCGTTATTTATGTTTTTTAAATTTATGTCAGAAATAACAGTGGTTAGTAAAATTTTTTCAAGCGAAAATGATCTTTTACAAACATTAAGAGCTCATATTTTCGACCCAGGTATATAGTCGATCTTTAAAAGTGGTTATAAAAAATGTTTATTTACACTAACAGAAGTATTACCAACGAAGAATTATTTGGTCATAATCTATGAAAAATATGATTCTACAGTGAGATCCGAGATGAAAAGTTACTTTAAAAAGTATTATTACAACTCATTCGAAATCTTATTCTACTAACTCCCAGCTTCAATCTTGATCTTACATTTGTGTTATTGCTCATTTCTGTCGATTACTTCCATCACTGAATGTAAGTGCATTCTGTATGCTGAGTCGTCAGTTCCTTTCTGTTTCAGATTTTCCCACGCACTCCCTCACACACAACGTAAATTCAAGCAGAACACAAACCAATATATGTTTGCAACCCATTGATGGACTTGCCCTAGGATGATTCCAGTCATTTAGTCGAGTTATACACTATAATAGAGAAGTTTGTTTCAGATCAACATGCAAATAATCAAAAATAACAAATATTTTAAAAATACCTTTAGATCAGTTACAACAGCATACGATGATAATTTACGAAATGAATTTTCAATATCCGAAAACAGTTGATGCATAGATGAATCAATTACATCTAAATGTAAATTAAAAGATAGGTATCGGAACAATAAGAACCATTTATATATATATATATATAACTCCGCCTGGAGTCCCTCCGGGGGCTACTGCCGGTCCCAAGCCCGGATAAAGGAGGAGGGTTGGGCATGGGGTTAGCGTCCCCATCCCGTAGAAAACTAACTCGCTAAAAAAACGCTAACCAGAAAAAATTATTCAAACCTTTTAAACTCTGCCCTGGGAGCCAGAAGATCTTCATTTAGAAGAATTATGACGCCTCATGATGAAAGCCGAATCCCTTCGGAAGTTACGAGGCCGATGCCCCTTCTGACAACCAGAGCGACCATTTATTTAGGTACATGGAATGTTCGTACAATGTGGGACACCGGAAGAGCCTTCCAGATTGCTGCAGAAATGAGAAGATACAACCTAGAGGTACTTGGGATCAGTGAAACACATTGGACACAAGTTGGACAACAACGACTAACTACAGGAGAGCTCCTGTTATACTCCGGCCATGAAGAAGAAAATGCACCACATACACAAGGAGTTGCATTGATGCTGTCCAAACAAGCACAAAATACACTTATAGGATGGGAATCTCATGGAGCAAGGATCATCAAAGCCTCGTTTAAAACAAAGAAAGAGGGCATTTCAATGAACATCATCCATTGCTATGCGCCTACCAATGACTACAATGAAGACGCTAAAGATCAATTCTACAATAGGCTGCAGTCAATAGTCGAGAAGTGCCCAACAAAAGACCTGACCATTCTGATGGGAGATTTCAACGCCAAGGTTGGAACGGACAACACTGGATATGAAGACATCATGGGACGACACGGACTGGGAGAAAGAAACGAAAATGGTGAGAGATTTGCAAATCTATGTGCCTTCAATAAGCTGGTCATAGGCGGCACTATATTCCCACATAAACGCATACACAAAACCACATGACTTCACCGGATCACTCTACACAAAACCAAATCGACCATATTTGCATCAACAAAACGTTCAGGAGGACTATAGAGGACGTGAGAACCAAGAGAGGAGCTGATATAGCATCAGATCATCACTTACTGGTCGCCAAGATGAAATTGAAACTCAAGAAGCACTGGACAACGGGGCAGACAGTATCACAAAAGTTCAATACGGCCTTTCTCCGGGATACTAACAAACTCAACAAATTCAAGATAGTCCTCAGCAACAAGTTCCAGGCCTTTCATGATCTACTCAATGGAGAAGGAACTACTGTGGAGAGCAACTGGAAGGGGATCAAAGAGGCAATCACTTCAACATGTCATGAGGTCCTGGGTCACAAGAAGCACCACCACAAGGAATGGATCACTGTTGGTACACTGGATAAGATTCAAGAAAGAAGGAACAAGAAGGCAGCAATCAATACCAGCCGAACAAGAGCAGAAAAAGCCAAGGCACAAGCTGAATACACGGAAATAAACAAACAAGTGAAGAGGAGCATCAGAACCGACAAACGTAAATATGTGGAAGATTTAGCAACGACGGCGGAAAAGGCTGCAAGACAAGGAAACATGAGACAATTGTATGACACGACAAAGAAACTCTCTGGAAACCGCCACAAACCAGAACGACCAGTGAAAAGCAAGGAAGGCAGGGTAATCACCAACATTGAAGAGCAACAAAACAGGTGGGTAGAACACTTCAAAGAACTGTTGAATCGACCAGCTCCACTGAACCCACCCAACATCGAAGCAGCACCCACGGACCTCCCAATCAATGTTGGCCCACCAACAATAGAAATCAGCATGGCCATCAGACAAATCAAGAGTGGCAAAGCAGCAAGACCGGACAACATCCCAGCAGAGGCACTAAAAGCAGACGTAGCGGCAACTGCAAGGATACTCCACATTCTCTTCAATAAGATTTGGGATGGGGAACAAGTACCAAAAGACTGGAAAGAAGGACTCCTGATAAAATACCGAAGAAAGGCGATCTCAGCAAGTGTGATAACTACAGGGGCATCACTCTTCTCTCAATACCGGGAAAAGTCTTCAACAGAGTATTGTTAAACAGGATGAAGGACTGCGTAGACGTCCAACTTCGTGACCAACAGGCAGGATTCCGTAAGGATAGATCGTGTACAGACCAAATCGCAACTCTACGGATAATTGTGGAACAATCAATTGAATGGAATTCATCACTCTACATCAACTTCATTGACTACGAAAAGGCATTTGATAGCGTGGACAGAACAACACTATGGAAACTTCTTCGACACTACGGCGTGCCTCAGAAGATAGTCAATATCATACAAAACTCATATGATGGATTACACTGCAAAATCGTGCATGGAGGACAGTTGACAAAGTCGTTCGAAGTGAAGACCGGTGTTAGGCAAGGTTGCTTACTCTTACCATTTCTCTTTCTCCTGGTGATCGACTGGATCATGAAGACGTCAACGTCTGAAGGAAAGCGCGGGATACAATGGACATCTAAGATGCAGTTGGACGATCTAGACTTCGCAGACGATCTGGCCCTTCTATCCCAAACGCAACAACAGATGCAGGAGAAGACAAACAGTGTGGCAGCAGCCTCAACAGCAATAGGTCTCAATATACACAAAGGGAAAAGCAGGATTCTCCGATACAACACAGAATGCACCAATCCAATCACAATTGACGGAGAAGATTTGGAAGATGTAAAAACCTTTACGTATTTGGGCAGCATCATTGATGAACAGGGTGGATCTGATGCAGATGTGAAGGCGCGGATCGGCAAAGCAAGAGCAGCATATTTACAACTGAGGAACATCTGGAACTCAAAGCAACTGTCAACCAACACCAAGGTCAGGATTTTCAATACAAATGTCAAGACCGTTCTACTGTATGGGGCAGAAACCTGGAGAACTACAAAAGCCATCATCCAGAAAATACAGGTGTTTATTAACAATTGTCTACGCAAAATACTTCAGATCCATTGGCCGGACACTATTAGCAACAACGTACTGTGGGAGAGAACAAACCAGATCCCAGTGGAGGAAGAAATCAGGAAGAAGCGCTGGAAGTGGATAGGACACACATTGAGGAAAGCACCCAACTGTGTCACAAGACAAGCCCTCACATGGAATCCTGAAGGTCAAAGGAAAAGAGGAAGACCAAAGAACACATTACGCCAAGAAATGGAGATAGACATGAGAAAAATGAACAAGAATTGGATGGAACTAGAAAAGAAGGCCCAGGACAGAGTGGGCTGGAGAATGCTGGTCAGCGGCCTATGCTCCATTGGGAGTAACAGGTGTAAGTAAGTAAGTAGGTAATATATATGATGAATGTTTTAATAGTTGTTTAATTACGATCAATCTGTGAGATAAGCTGTAAAATCTAGCTTTGTAAAGTTATTATTCAGCGACATTACTTTTCTTCATAAAATCAAACGATTAGGATTCATTTAACCTAACGATTGAAACGTGGTAACAAGAATCGAAAACTTAAACCGATAATGCTAATGAAATAAGAAAGTGGATTTTTTGAGAAGCATAACTACTTACTGTAGTTCTTGGCTGAAATGCTAATTCGTCTAGTCATCAAATAAATTTCAGTGGCATCTGTAATAAAACGAAATAACATATATGCTTTTTGGTTAACTAAAGCAAAATGGTTTAAAAAAGTTACTTTAATTTGAAATCTGAATATGCCAATTCAAAGAAATTTCAGATGACTCGCATGACATAACTAATATGATATGACGAAAACTTATACAACGTTTGTGGTCATCGATAATGTTCTGTGTTTACTAACACTGTAGTAATAAGACCTTTCGGTCATTATTTCGTGTGTTTAAAAAGTATGCTCTATGTAATTGAAATCTTCATCAAAGAATTTATTTTCAGTGGCCGAATTAGTCTGTAAATGTCTTCTACTAATATCTTCGGTGTAGTGCATCTCTAAACGCCGGACGAAAAATACAAATACAGGAAATGTTAGACTTCCAAATAAACAGAAAAATGACCCAAAGTAATAGGTACTGTACGCTTAGTGAACAATGAAAACATAGCGGATAGATCCAGACTGTTTAACTCTCATATAGGTTTGATTTTGGAATATTCCTTTTTTATTACATCAAATTGATGGCTTTTCCATACAAATAAAACAATTAAACTATTTAGCATTCAGTTTCTAAGATGTCATTGTTCGTGTATACTCAGATAACCAAGTCACTTGAGTTACAAGTTTTACATTTTCCGGGTAAAATGTAAATTCAAACTCCATTTTATTACAAGTATTACTGTGGTAAACGGAAAACTCAGGTGGCGAAGAAGAATTTATTGTCCAATGCGAAATCACACATTAAATACATCATTTGCACATCTTTGAATTGTTCCTTAGAAACCTCATTCCTTTTGTTGTCTTGCTTGCTTTCAGTTTTCTCTCGTCTCCTCATGTCGGTCTTCCCAATCTTCTGCTCGCAGACATCCCACTTCCTATTGGTGACACATACTAATTATATTTGTTAGCATACATTACAACACAACCGATATTTAATTTAGCAACTTCATAATAAATAAGAACTGAGTGAAAATGTTTTTATTAAAAATGATATATTCGAATTTAGGGAGTTTTGCAAATTCGAGTAATTTTGCACTTTTACATCAGTGAATGGTCATAGTTATAGAACCGTTGAAAACCTTAAATTGAACAACCATTTCGTCTCAATGTGAGACTCCTCAACAGACCACATACACGATCCCAGTAGACACTGAATGAGAACTTTTAAGTAAATCAGGATGCAGTTAATTGTCATTTTATTAAATTTATAAATCAAGGGGTAAAACCAGTTGTCTTTCTTTTAATAAATATACCAAATTCACCTCTTAAATGATCTCAATTTCTAATTACTTTGACATGTTTATGCAAAGCTGATGTGTGGAAGTGAAAGGGCGGTCTGCTTGAGCATCTGGGCTACCTGTTCCTGCCATCTAGATATTTCAACAGGTTATCTATTTTTGCTTGTTTTAATATATCACTATGTTTATTAATCGCATAAGCTATTCTGCTGCGTTTCTGAAAAGTATACAACCTTTCGTTGTCAAAGTTACAAAAAACTCAATAAGAGACAATGTGGTTGCTGGCAATATACGAAAAGAATGCACATTATTCGGATGTTCATTTACTGGACTGCTAACATCTAACTGGCGACCACTCGATATTTATCGCCAGGACCGACCGAGAAGAAAGAAACGGAAACTTGTTGAAGTACTTTACGCTGAGAATTCTATATTGTACCAAAAATATAATATTGAATAAAGCTGATGATTATAATAATAATAATAAAGTAAATTTGATCGGCCACTGAGCGCGGAGAAACAGACATTCAGCATACTGATTAAAATGTGATTTCCTTTCCTCATCAGTTTCTACTGACTCAGTGAGAGTGACCGGTTATAATTGTGTGCAATAACGTATAGTAGTCTGGTTTTCTGTTTCTGGTCCTGAACTTAGCATCTCATACAACGTGACCTAGTTTTTGTATAGCGTACTATTCCAGTATCCTATCGAGAGGTAGTACAAACTGGGTATACTGTTGAAAAAAGATAAATTTTAAATTTCCACGTTGTATCTGCAGTCACATTTTTAAAAGTTGACATCAAATTTGTAGTCCCGTAATAATGAAGGTCCTGGAAGCAATCCGATGTGGAGCTTTGGATGCTAACTTTTGTCGAATTCAAAATTTATTTATTTATCGCCACTGGCTTCTATTCTGGGCCATGTCTGATAACGTCTCTAGACACAATATTACACCATCTCTAGGACCCCAACCAAGAAGTCGTGTAGGACCAGAAGCCTGACCTGTACAGCTTTCTTCCACACCACGACACCATGTCATGCACTGACCACTTCACCTTTTCTAACCGGTCCCAACGTCGGCAAATAATGCACGATGTTTCAAGATAGTGATATCAACTGAATTATCATAGCTGTGCGCGAACACACGGTGCCGATCCTGTTCATTACTAACATGATGTCAACAATCCTTGGGAGACAACGGTGACCAAACACAGAGTCATCTAACATAATCAACTCGGCGAAGCCAAGTTTCACAGGAACAGAGGAAAACTACTCTCGACATGTTGTAGATCCGACCTTTTGCAGCAGGAGTAACATCACGAAAGCGCCAAAGATGGTTCAGATTGGTATAAGCCGCTCCGGCCTACACTATAGGTGAACTGATCTAGTCTCTCACGCCACCACCAGCACTTACTCAGCTACCCAGATACACGAACATCTTAACCACTATTTGCTCACTACCCAGGGTGGGTGTGGGTTCAGGTTCTACCAGTCATATAGAAGTACTTTACACTTGGAAGTTGTAAGGCACGCGCCATGCCTACGGACACTGACTACCAACTGATTAAGTGTGGATTGCATGGCTTGAGTATCATCGCACAGTAAGACAATATCATCCGCATACTCAGGATCGAAAAGTCTTTCTCCAGGTAACGGATCTACACCACCATTACCTACATATATAAAAGCGGTTTCCAGAACGTCCTCGATGTCAGAGTTGAAGAGGAATGGTGCGATTAGGCAGCCCTGCCTGATCCCACTCCTTTAATGGATTAATAGATATGGTTGTATGCCCTTACTCTATCTGAGGTGTTAGTATATGGAGCTTTCAAGATGTTAAAAAACTTCTCAGACACACCTTTCTCCAATAGACAATCACAGATAACAATCCTGTCCAACAAACCGAAGGCGACTATTATGTCAAGAAAAAATACGATTGCTAGCCTGTGTAATAAATCTGACGGTGTTCTAACATTTGGCGGAGGATGAAGACATGACCATTACATCCTCGACCGGAACGAACACCAACCTGCTCCTCTCAAATCAACCTTTCTCGGGTTTTATGAAGTTCTATGAAGTATATCAGCCAACGCTTATCTATACTTTTCGGTTGGTTGATAGCTAGCCTTGAACTCAGCTCGGTTTGATATTTTGTTGCAACAGGAGCTGCAAGCAATTTGCTGACATCGATCCGTTTAGAACGATGAATTTGTTGGCCACTGAAATGTAAGGTAAGATTAGTGCAAACAAGGACATGATCGGAGTCCAGATAGGTACTCCAAAAGGAGTGACAGTTTTGTACACAACCACGCCAGCGGTAGTTAAACGCGATGTGATGGGAAGACGCCAGGTAGAACATCAAGGACAACTGTGCTGAAAGTTAGTGTTAGTCAGAAACAGGTCGTAGTCTGCGCGAATTTGCAATAAACAGTAACCGTTATCTGACATGCAACCATCAAGTCCCCATCGACCACCTAAACAACTCTGTTCTGTGTCTAGACGCCCGACCTGAGCATTCAAGTCTCTTGGCTAGTACTACAATATCCGTCGAGAGCATCTTCTGTTGAAAAACAGTTAACTGGTAGTAAAACTCATCCATGGTCTCATCCGGGCTGCAATCTGTCAGAGTGTAGGTGGAGATGATGAAAAGACATCGTTCCTCACACCTATTTTTTTCTTACTTTGATGGAGCTTTCTAATCTAACAGCACATAACCGACTGTTAATGGGAATGCAATCGATCAGTGCTGCCTCAACTCTAGAGCTTAGTGCGACACCAACGCCAGCAAAGTCAGACGAAGATGCCACAGGGTCTCCGGATAAACGGACGCGAAACAAGCTTTCTGAAGCGACATATGAAGAGCGAATTTGTAGTACTTGACTAATCTTGAACATGGGTCTCGGAAAGACAACAAACATCGATGTTGAGACATTCTAAAGACATAGCCACTCCTATCTGTTGTCCGTTCTGTATTAGTGTGCGAACATTGAAGGAGGTTAGTTTGAATGTTATACGTGGTTTCAGAAAGACTGTTTCAGTATTCGTAGTTGATGGTAGCATTCAACTTTCGACCAGTCAGTGACTTCAGATCGTTTAGATAGGACAGGTTTTCCACCAGAGGCGAGTTGCTGTATATATTGAAAAATAAACTACGCAAAATGAGAATAAATAACGTGGTTTAATAATAAAAAAATTAAAACGAATGTTATCATATGATTGTGAATATGATTTGTGTGAATGAGAGTCGAAGCAAGAGTAATTTTCCAGTGGTAGTTATCATTGATTTGTATCCATAAATTATCTTAAAAATTTACTAAGATCTGCATGTTGTTCAAAAAATTCTCACTTCGTTTTCAATGATAAGAAGCAAATCAATCCTGAAGACAAGTTGGATTAAAACATTAGAATTGAGATAAATATTGTTAAAGGATGAATTATTTCATCTTAAAACATATTTAATGAAGACATACCCAATAAGAAATTACATCCTTCTTCACTTTCTGCAAATTCAAATTGATCTTCCATACTTTTAAGAGAAGATAAAACTAACAATGAATCATTGAATACTTTCAAGCAATCAGTCAAACAATGAAGCCATTGTTCATATAAAGATTCTGAAGAATTCATTTTATTCTGAAATCAAGAGAATTCATTACAAATTTAATAAATGAGTAAAAAACGAAGCACAGTTGTTTTTTTAGTGGAAATATAATCTTATATGCACCCAATCATCAATATTTTTTGTGAACAGAAAGTTTCAATGAATGTCATTGAAATGGTTTAAATGATTGATTATTTTTATATTGAACAGACTTAAATCTTGAAGTGCATATCATAGTACACTTTACAATTATTAAGTATTTCACTATTCTTTTTAGTCACCTCCATGTAACATAACATTAAAAACTGATGAATTCGATAAAGCTTGGTATTCTGCATGGATGTGTGAAGGTGAAACCTATATTTTGTCAAACACTTTGAGTAGTTTTGTTTTATTATTATTCAGTGAAGATTATGCAGACAAAGTGAGAAATTGTTTGTTTATTTAAATATAAAAAGATAAGCGTTTTTATATAATATTTCTAACCTGTACATCATTATAAGCACCTTTCTGTATTGGTAATTTTAAAAGATTATTATTATTCGCTGTAGTTACTGAATTCGAATGAGGAAGCTTATCAAGAATTTCAGTCGGTTTTGATACATTAACGGAATAACTAGTTTGAAAATTTCCAAACTCTTCATCAAATAGGGAGTTGTGAGAGCTAAAAAAAAGTAATTAGAAATAAAACCAATTTGAAGATATAAATTTTTAAGCATCATTAACAATCAAATAATAAAGGGGAAAAAGCATCTTCAAGATTAGGCTAGAAATAACAAACAAACAGGTATCATACAAAAACTAGTAACTACAATAGAATTAATTCAAGGAAATTTTCTTAAAATTCTGGTTTATCAACATGAACTGGATCAGACTTGAAAAAGTAATCTCACAGACACGAAAAGATCAGTTGGTATTTGGCTATGTACATCATATATGCTGTTGACAGATTACCCTAATATTTATACATCAACGATTACAGACCATAGTAGATCCTGTCCTGTCTTTCGGCCATTAGGCACTAAGATAAGATGAAACATGTTTAAGTACAGTCGGGTTAATATTAGTTAGATAACTGCGGAGACAATAATATTTTCACTTGCATCCAGATCATAAAGGAGTAGTCGATTATCACACCGTGAATATATAAGTATTTAAAGAAAAACCACTTATATTATTAGTGAAAATTACGTTAGAAATTACTGATGTTGAAACGAAGTAACAAAACACGAAAATACGGTAGTTTAGCCAATAACACCATGGTCATAAAAGTTAGTCCGGTTTTACTCGGATAGTTTCAAGTTATCAGACTGAATTAGGAATGTCGAAGAGTGGTTTGATGAATTTGGATAGTTTTCGATAGGCAACAAATTTGCAATCGATATATTAAATAAGACATGATACCTACTAAAGGACTTATTAAAAGTCGGTAACATAAAGAATACGTGATTATAAGTATAGACAGATATCAAAAGTAAAACCAGATATTAACAACTAGAACAGAAGTGGTTAAAATCTAAGCATATTACTTGCCTCGTGACTGACTTTTTCTGGCCATTAATACCAACTTCTGTAGAGACTTTCGGGATATTATTACTATTATGCTTTGATTGCTTAACCTGAAAACAAAAAATCAGCAAGCAGATCAAAAATATATGATGACCGATACTTTTCAAAAAGTTTACATGATTAACAAAGTTACAGGATTAGAAGTAGTAAGGTCGAATGCCAAGTTTAGTAAAACAGTGGGGTTTTTGACAAGTCATGGGTCTTTATCGATTTAAAACCTGTTTTTTCTACCATATTTAGAACACCCATATACGTAGATCATAATCCGCTACACAAAAAACGAACGTAGTTAATAAAAACTCCCACAACTGGTTGTAATAAGACTATTCATTTACAAATATCTCCGGAAATAGATGGGTGAACATGGGCATCAAAGCCAACAGTATAAGAGTAAACTAAATACGCAGTCATCAAGAGGTTCAGTGCCCAACAAATTGTTTACTTCAAGTAATTAAATAAACACAGATTAGATCTAAACAGTCTAAAATGTAAGTGAAAATAATGAAACCATGACCATCATGACAAGGCACTAAATTGAGCTTTTTCCAACAATTGGAAATTAGATAGTATTACTAGTCTTATTTTATTGACAGTTGATATGACAAAAATAAAAAAATAACTTACAGAAGTATTAAAAGAAGCAAAATCAGACCACTCGGGGTCATTTATAGATAAGGTTCCTGATGAAACGAAATGCATGAAGGGATCTGGTGTCTTGTAAACAGAATTATTTAATGTGCCAGAATCTGTAGATGACTGAATAGACTGGTGACAAGAATCGTTATCCAATCGATTGGAAAATGCAGAAAATGCTACGACGGGAGGTTGGAAGGGAAACTTTGAACATCTTGAGATTACTGGATCTCGAAAACTAGTTGGGGGATTTCCATGAGTAACTACCTCCGGCCCAGAAATCATATCTGTAGAATTAGACGGCCTACTGGAGTTAGGAATTTGTATCATAGGGACAGGTGGACATATTTGTCCGTAAAGTGATTGGATAGTAATAGTTTCGGAAAGAGAACATGATTGGAATTCCCATTGCTTACGTTGTGCCAGGCCGATTAAAGCTAAGGCAGTCACTAACTCAGTCGGTGTAAACCAACCAGGTTGGGTGCAGCTTGTAAGTGACCAAATATGATACAATGCTTCTGTGCTCAAATTGGACGAGCGGAATATCTCGTAAATTATTGAACTGTCGAGACCATAACTAAGAAAGATAACAAAATATTTAAATGGCGAAACGTTTAACAGATCAAACCAAAATGCTAGTTATAGAAATAAACAGAAACTGGGAAATATTTGTGGCACTCTGTGGAGTGGGAAGCTAACTAATCTGGCTTGAGCCATACCTCAGTACTAAATGGAAGCAATTTACTCACAAATAACATTTAACTGAATGTGGCTGAAATACAACGAACCCATTTTACAGAAAGAATAACTAAATCGTAATCGTAGTGGAATGCAATTCAGATGAAATTATTTGATGTACAAACCGAGAACAGTAACTCTTGTGAGAGACAACTGAAATTATTGACGATAGCTTGTTTACTACAAATTCGAATTTTTATTTTATTTGGACACATAGATATTGGTACAAGGGGGCACCAGATACATATGCGCCACATAAATCTCATTTAATATGTATGAGGGCTGTGATATTGCCCAGGTGCCCAAACCGGATCAGGTGGTTTTCTTAGGAGGCCACCCAGAGCCTTCGACCTGAAAGTCTGATCCACAAGGCAGTGGCGCAACGTAAGGAGATGCGGTACCATGGTAGCCGGTGACCAACACTTGGTTCATACGCCATTTATTCCTTCAGGATACTGGAGCCCATGTGCACTATTGGTTTGAAATCAGGGTTTTCCAACTCCCCTAGGGGGACTCTCTGTGTCCACCAACCCGGTTAAAGCGCCGGACATTCGCCTTTCATCCTTTCGATTTCGTAAACAACAACCCCGCCACAAGAAGGCAGTGGTTGCATGCACGTGGCCATGTGAGGGCATTTCGATGAGAGAGAACTCTCCCCTCTCGGTCGTACCAAGGCATTTAGGGATCTCGTTATAAAAAAGTTTTATTTTTATTACTTTTTACAACGTTGACATTTCGTTTCGTGTCATACATTTCTTGGTCCCCACTGAATCATCAAAAGTCCTCGATCATATTCAGGTTTATGAATGCAAAAATGAAAATCTACGAAAAAGTTGATACAGGCAAGAAGCCTCAGGGTGGTCGGATAAAAAACACAATATGGTAGGAGAGATTTCACATGGGCTTTAGAATCCCAGTACAACTTGTCCAAAGTCAGTGCTAGCAACTTCTAAGTAAAGACAGTGAGGAAAATTGTGAAAGGACCTATTTGTGAGTCTACTAGCTCTATAATTTTAAAACCCAATGGCCAGCACCAGGAATGCTTTGGGATAGATATAACTAACTTTTAAGCCTAACCTATCCTAACTCCCCTTCCGCCAGCAGTACTGGGGCTGCTGGATATCTGTAGAAAACACCTTGCTACCATCACACTACAGTATGGTAACCAATATGACTTCGCTCGAAAATATCAAGGAACGTATCCCAGTTAATATAGCTCGACTGAGTCGTCAAAATAAGCGAATTCGACCACCACGTAAAGGTAGTACCTACGTTTGGTATAAATAATCAGTGTAAACCTTTCCAAGAAATTCGTCAATTCGCCCAAAAACTTATGACATTTGAATCTCATGATGACTATCAAGTAAGGTGCTGCACAAATTACTTTGATGAGTTCTACTGTGGAAACAATTAATTCTTTGCCAAATCTGATGGCTTAAAATCCAATAATTATCGAACTTCAACTTTATCACTCAATATTCCATCTTGTGTTTACTAACAATCATATGGAGCCAAAAATTTCCTTAGATAACGGTGCCACATATGCAACTCTTTAGTACTGGAGATAAGCTATGAATAGGAAACTACTGGAGTCCATTATATGAAGCCTTCAAATCTTAGAAATTGTGGGATAGAATACAAATGAAAACTTTTAGTTACTAAAAACGCCAACCACAAAATATATTTAAATAAGTGGTTTAATAGCAAATCTAAGCACTTTGGTTACAGCTAAACTTAACTTAAGAAAAAGGTACCAACCCAAACTTTTTGGCAAAAATTTAAAACAATTAAAGAGTGGTCTAACATCGATCGACTGATGATCTTCATCAAAAGCCTAACAATCTCCACAATCCCATACTGATAATTAAAATAATGTCAGGTTATTTTTTCAAGCCCTTTGTTTACAAAGCCAATAGTCTCATAAGATTCGACGTTCTTGTGTTTATTTGTGTAATTTGGCTATTTTGTGATGATAAGAATGGATACAAATATTTCAGTTTATACCACATGCTTTCAGACTTTATGAATCTCATACATATCCACGAACGAACAAGTTAGAACAACTTATTAAAGAAGACGACATTCTAATTAACACGACAGTGCTGGTAGAAAAATGGATGAGATCAAAATGGCATAATCATATATATGCATGTTAGGAGAAGTTCCCATAAGAAACCCCTGACAATAAATTATAACTACAACAAAGAGAAGGTAAACAAACTTTTAGGACGAAAACACAGAAAATTTTAGTATAAATAAAAACGTTAGTTTGGATACATCTTTTAAGAAGTTAATTATGTAAATACTTTTTAGTGTTTGTTCGAGATTGTGATACATGTTTCATCGGACATATGAGTCGCAGTTTGTGTGATCTTTAATAGTAGTAAGACGTTTACAGTCTTGAGAGTTGTGTGCGATACTTTACAAATAATAGATAATGAAGCTTTCGATATAAAGGCGGACAAAAGGCTTTATTATTTATAACTCTAGAATCTCGTAATCCTGAAAATGATAAAGAAAATCTAAATTTTGTCGTTTAGCTAACTTAACTTATCCAATATGAAGAGTCAGAGGGATTTATTCTTAGTATATTTAGTCTCGTTGTAACCTCGTCACATCGTTGGTATATGTTAAAGATTAAGTTCTCAAGCAAAACAGAAATTCTCTGACTTCATTTTTTTGACAGCCGCTTATACACTGTTGGATTAAGTGAAGTTGCACGGACTTGAAAAAATGGGATTAACCATCATCATTGTTTTATGTTTTTTTGACGAGAAAGGTTCAATTAGGCTCAGGAAATCGTCCTTAGAAAGGATCAAAATTAGGAATAGAGACAACCCTTAACCTGAAGACCACTGACATCACAAACGTTTCTAGACAGACAATATTGCTATCAACTACCACTGGGGACATTGGACAGATTATTGCTCCTCCCGAATCATATCCTTGGAATTCGAACTTACTCCTGTACGAACAAGTGTCTATCAGCATCATACTTGACCAAAGAAAAAACGCAGTGAGACCACTTTGAGCCCATTTCGAAGAAATAAAACGCACATATCTAAGGTAGGACTAGCTAAGCATATAACCTACAACCTAAAATGACCTGGAAATATTTTAGACTGCTGTGAAAACATCAGTGACACTTGTTAACAACATGGACCAGAATATTAAGAAATCTCGAAAGCCCCCACTAACTTAGCGGATTCTCGGAAACTATTCTCAGCATGTTCTGAACATGGCGAGGAGCGAAGGACACTTGAACAGAGAATAACAAGACGTTAGCTCGATGATTGAGGACAGAGGTGTGCAACGAAAGCAAAGAACAATAAAAAAGTGGTCTTATTGGGTAACACCAGGTAATTTTAAACTGATTACAGAGATGGATTAATAAGTTGGTTACTAGAGAAGATATTTCTGAAAAACATAGGACCCTGAAAACCAAACGCCTGTAACGCTGATCAGAAAATTTTGAGGAATACGTCAGGTGAACTCCAGTTACTTATCATTCACCAACAAACTGAACTAGAGGCTGATATAGGATCTCCAGAATTCAGTGAGGTCAAAAGGCCACAACTAACTTGAAACAAATAAAAAAACGATCCTGATGGTTTTTTGCAGGTCCTTCATATCAGTGGCTCAGTTTTAGCAGTTAGACTGATTGAAATATAAGCTGGAATTTGAGAGTCAGGTGTGATTTCTCTGTGATCACTAGTTGCCCAGGGTAGAAGAGATTACAGAAAGCCTCTTAGGATAATCGCAGAAAAATCCTTTTGATCAGTATGCCACCCAAAATACTAACAGTCAGGAATAGCCGACAGCAAATCCAGGAAAACTAGGGTAGTTCCAGACATGAAGGGAGAGAATTGAACATACCATCAATCTATGAAGTTAGTGACTGAGAGTCTGAGTCATGTTAATCTGTGTGAGCTAACAGGATGAGGCCCACATAATAATTGTTATCAGTAGTTGGAATTGGATGATATAGATCAAATCGGTCACACGGGAGAATTTTTATTCACTCTACATCTTTGTTTAAGTATTATTCATAACTGTTCATTACCCGACCTTTTCTTTTGAAGGTACAATTTTCATGTTCGGATTTTTATTTTCTTATCTTACGTTTTCCACCTCGCTGATTTCCTCTAGCTGTGAACATGTACCATTTGCTACTTGGGTGTGATACATAAACATACCACAACTCATACTGATGACTGACTAGCTGAATGTAAGAGTAGTCTGGAAGAAAGAAAAAGGTGGATAAACCAGAACTTGGCATCAGTTCACGAAACATTAAATATTGGACTGACCTGTTTAGGTGGGTGCAGACAACCTGGTTTGTCCACTACAGTTATCGTACCCAGTAGATGGAGATCTTGGGTAACACATTTCGGAATAGTTCGCAATGCAGTGTATGCATTTACTTTTTTCTTCTGTCGTTTAATCTTGGGTCCCGAAATCTTCTTATACATCTTTTTCTGCTTCCTAAATCTAATCTTCCCTACCACTACCATTACTATTTCTAATACTCTCGGACTTGACTTTATAATCTCATCTCGCTGTTCTAATGTGTTGTGACAACTTGGACCGATGCACATGTCCCAGGTTTAACGTTCAAAATGACCAAATGACTGACTAATACATTTGTCACTTTTAGCTAAAAACGCTCTTATATTATTGATGAATTTATATCAAGCGAAAATAGAATGATGGTCTTCTTTGTGATGCAATTTTTTGTATCTAAACAAGACGCAGAGAAATGACGAATAATACATGGAGCTTTAGGTAGTGTTGGGATCTCTAAGATAGGTGGTCTAAATGTAAAGCTTTCATTTCCATTCTTGACGACATCTTCATCGCTCAATTCATGTAGAAGTGAGCTTTTTAGTTATTTCACAAGTGTTCTATTGACTTATTCCAATAGCCTTATTTGTGATTAGCTGTCTTCGTAGGTTATGTCGTTTTCATTTGTTTTCAGATCCAAGTTGACTGTCTTTGTCGATTGACCTCTGGCCTTGTGAACAATCGATGTCTTTCGTATAGGTTCATTAACTTGGTCAATGTCGATGTGCCTAGTGATTGCTAATTGATTTGAGTTTCACGATTTTAGAAACTCCTTGGTATTCTTAGAGATTCCCTAATCCGAATATTTGGCGTTTTTCCAGTAGAATTCATTTCAATGGTGGTTTTTATGCACTGTCAAGTAGATAAAGAGCTTACTTTACATGTATTAGGCGCGAAAAGTGTCCAAAATGACAATGAAAGCTAGGATATTGAAACCACCTGGCTCTGAAAAATCAACACCACCAAGAGCATCCACTTGACCTGCAGATTTTCTCCATCATTTCGGTACATGTAGTTGCTTAAAAGAGCAACACTTGCTTCATTTCAAAGGGATATGAATGAATGATATACCAGTATAATCAAGTTATTGTATATCTATAATTCAATAAAGGATTTCATAAAAAACAATGATTCGTGCTCACGGTTTTATTCCTTCAGGCACTTTATAATATTTCATTATCTACAAACAGCATACTGAAATCTTACCAGAAAATCACACTTCAGTCAATCAATCAGCTACAACGTAGGGACAGGTACATATATGCATTGGTCCATGTTGCCACATCTCATTAGCACAACAAGATGAACACCAAATTCATAGAAGTAATTACTTCAATGGTAGCAATACATAAAAAGGATTGCATATAAGGAAATGATACGGGGAAAGAGAATTCGTCCGCAGAAACAAAGGTATAAAGTGATTTAAACCTCACAGTGTAAGGGAAGACAAAGAGTGTATACAATTACGCCATTCTGATCGATTCTAAGCCATGTCACACAGAATCTCCAACCATTGGTTACAATAGTCACGTGGACTCCAACCAAGTAGTCTGTATCTACCAACATGGCTCAGACCAGAAGTTAGTAACTTCAAGAACTGATGCCACGTTTTGATTTGGGTGCCCCTAATTTTCTTCCATCCGTCTTCAATACTAGTCAGCATTACGCGTCGTGGTAATCGGTGTTCAGGCATACGTAACACGTGGCCCAACCATCTCAGTCGATGAAAAGACGAACTGCTGTGCAGTATACTCGCCACTTAATTGATAGACAGGTATCTCGCCTTCGCCATAGATGACGTAAGTTGGCAAAAGCCAAACGAGCTTTCTGAATCCTTGCAGAGATTTCGTCAGACGCTAACCCATTAGGGCTGATCAGACTTTCGAGATAAGTGGAGATGTAGACGCATTCGACCACTTCCATTTATTTATATGCCTAACTTGAATTTATACCAACAGAGAAAACATGAAAGAAATAAAAATTGAAAAGTGAACATATGTTCTGTCAAAATAATATTTATACCTACTAATCAACAACTTCCACTAACCTACTAATTCAAATTGATAGTGACAGAGATTTACACGAAAGCTTTTATCCCTAGAAATATTTTGATCCATATCAGTATAATGTTACGATGGATCATTGTGGCTGAAATTTTAAATTAATGCTTGTGGTGTAAACTCAGAGATTTCCTTTATCCGGTCTAATTACTAGGCGACTCAAGACGTAGGACATATTTCTTGGTTCAAGTGACCACACCATATCAGCACAGCAAGTTGAAATTATTAATATGAACACCAGTTTAGTAGAAGTAATGGTATAAAGACGTAAAGAAAACTATTGACTAATATATTTACTAAGTGTAGACTATATAAAGATAATTCTTAACATACCTTGTTGTAGCGGCACGAATGGCATCGCCATAAATTGGTGGTAGGGAAGAGAGATTCACTAACCATGAGGGTTTAGCTAAAGAAGTGGCTGGAGAAAATGAGTTTGCAGTATTCAGATATCCAACCTCCGGAAAATCAAGTAAATGCGATGGGTTCTCACACATTTGTTCAGTTGAAAATACACCAGAGATTTGATTTGAGAACTTACCACCACGATTAGGCTAGTTTTTTTTATAAAAAAAGCGCACACGAAAGATAAAATGGATTAAGATCAACCTAATACGTGTGTAGCGGTTCGTGATGATGATTGATAATACGATGAATAAGATTGAGTTACTTGTGGTGTATGGGGAGATGACCGTTTGCAGGCCAAAGGACGAGTACAGTGTGCAGCAGCTCGCTGTTACTTCATGGCTGTGAAATGTGGCTTTAAAAAGAGGTTATTCACAGGATATTAGTATTTATTCATATGTATTTTCGAAGTACTGCTTGTGTATGTCAGGACCTCTGGGCGAATAACGTTATGGTAAGACGCAGGTTACCAAGGAAAGTATGCTGAGTAAATCGGTCGAGGTGGCCAGGACATGTATTAACTAAGCCCAACCACCGCCTACCTCAACACAATGGTGGCTGGTGCAGGAATAGTTTGTAAGGAAGATATGAGAAACCAAACCAAAACGTAGCATCAGTTCATGAAGTTATAAACTATTGCACTGACTCGTGCTAACTACTTATTTGGGGTCCATGTGATTTTTGTAACCAACAGTTAGAGACTTTGGTTGACTTGGCTCAGAATAATCCACAATACAGCAGATGGATTCACTTTTTGTGTTCCCCTACATACCAAGTTTCCATATTACCTTATAACTTTTTAATCCATGGATCTACATTTTTTAAACCATACCTTTTATGCCTTTTCTATTACCCCCAATACTGTTACTACCTATACCACTCTGGGTTCTCGATGTGCTGTGTTGAAACTTGAACACACGCATGTGACTAGTTCATTTACCAAATACACGTTCATGTAATTGGCTATGAGCCACATTGCTTTTATGAAGGCTACTAATAAAACGCGGGTATCTAAACAGAATTAGATGAAGTGGATTTTATTCATGTAACCAACTAATCGGAAGCCTGGAGTTTTGGCCATTAAACGCACTACCGGTAAGATTGCATGGAAAATATAGCAGGAAACTGTAAACAAATAACTATATCATCACTGAAAATAAAAATCAGTTGAAAATTGATTACACAGGGATAATGTCAGCCATTCAATAATATTTGAAATGCAAATCAAGATGTTAAATTTTGGCATTAGGGGGATTACATAGTAAGTCAAAATAACAATGCACAAACGTGCATCAGCTTAATTCGCCAAGCCTCATACGGTAAAGATGAAGTTAACAAAATAAATAACAAATAAATCGAAATAATCGTTATACAAGGATATGGTTTGATGAAGGATGGGTTTGCAAAATGAAATTTAAAAAATAATAGTTGAAAAATAGGTTACATGCCTTAAAATCTATCTCAATAACACGAATATATGCACCTTTTTTAGTTGATAGGGTCTAGACTATATTATTATTGCATACCTTTCACTAATGGCTTATATATTTTGCCTCATAACCTCTCATTACAACCATTGGAAACATATTTATATTTGATTGTTTTTTCTTTACCTGACGTTGCCAATCCGGTAAAGCAATCTTAAATAGTGTGTGAGTAATCGATGTCAGTGCTTTAATACCATAGTGAATAATGGATTAGTAACTATAACTGAAGAAAGAATTACTTGAAAATAACATGGAAATACATATATAGAGAATCTACAAACCGTATTGTGAGTAGGAATGCAAGAGTGAGGAGCTACAGGTAAAGTTGTTTTGACCTTGGAAACAGATGAATTATTATCTAAAAAGATGTAGCGTATCGATCTGGGCATACCATCTTTGCTTGTGACGACAGAATTGTCCAGTGCAAGCTTTTTGATATATTCATCAATATGAATTTCCTCTGTCTTTCGCGATAGCATTTGTAACCTTAACTGTGTACTTTCGAATCTCCGCTGCTGTTCGAGTGATGGACCGCACGAGCTAGAACTAAGCAAATAAACAAGAAAGTTCGCTTACGTGGAAACATTTGATTTACTAATCATTTTGATATCATTTATTCTGGTAAGTTACCAGCAACCTCGAAAAATACGGTCATGCAGATTTAACATGACACTGAAATAAATCACGCCATTATGGCATCAATCCAGTGTTCAAGAAAATCGATCTGAAAAAGTGAAATCCAACTGAAACTGAGTAAATGTTAAACCATATTAAAAGACTACTTTGATGGTCACGAAAAAACACTTCAGTTATCCGTTTTTAGGAACCTAGATTGATTGGTATGTGAATAGAACACTAAATTACATTGAATGAATAAAACAAATACTCAGTAAACCACCAGACGATGTGTAATGAAATCGTTGGAGAAAGATAACATGAAAACCTGATGACAGGTCTACAGGGAAAAAGGAAATAACTGTTACTTGGCTTACGCCATGTAACCGGAATCACTAAAGCAATAACTATAGGAAATATAAAACAAGTATTTGGTGTGAAGCTGAATGCAAAACATTTGGCGGATGTTTATAAAATGAGGCCAGGAAATACAGTGAATATGTCAATTTTGCCTTTAGCGATAAATTTGATGTTATTTTCGAAATTTTACTGAATTCAGAGCAATAAATTTACTTAGGGCGGTAGTGGATATTAGTGCTTATCAACATATATTAGTCAAAAGAATGAAGGATTTCCCTTACTGCTACGGCATATCAAGATTTGAAAGAATCACAACGAACTGTGAGCCAATGATAACATATTATTAATGAAACGATCACCAAGATATCTGACTGTTGAGTTTCGAAATTTCGATCCTAATTAGGATACTTATGTATCAATATCCATCGAAATTCCTAAATCTGAAGTCGTTTCACAATAGCTTGCAAAAACCATAGAAATTAAAAGCTATAATGAGAAGTCTGTAACTTATAGATTTTCATCTCATGAATAAAAAACGAAATAGGACATAAGCATACATTGAGCTATACTATATCGATCAAAATTTAAGTTTCCCATTCAGCATACCACTGAATATTATTCGACGCATTATCAAACTATTCACAGAAAGAATCACAGTGAAATAAAATCATCATGAATTATCTGGGTACACTCAAAATAAAAAATACTAGTTATACACCAAAACAGCAGACTATGACCTTGCGTCGAATATACCGGGTACCTACTAAATCCAATTGTTCAAAATGGTTCAAACGGTAGCGGACGGAATAGAAGAAGCTTTCGCTTAACAGGCTTCCGTGTCTAGTAGCAGAGGATCACTAAATCCTCCAGGCAGGAGCCTAGGTATGTTAACAATAAAAGATGAAAAAAATAGTAAATCAGATTTCAGATTCAGATTCAGATTCAGATTTGTGTAGTAAGGACAGAAGGCATACGGCCTATGTTATTCCTTTTCTAGTATGCTTCTGTGAGTGTCCAGTCTTCTCTTGAAAGAGTCAATTGAAGGTGCGGATACCACTGCTTCAGGCAGCAGGTTCCAAGTATTGATGACTCGGTGTGAAAACCTGTATGCCAGGGGTATTTTGTTCGTTCTTGGCTTTTCTACTCGCCTGCTATGTCCTCTGAGGTGTCCCGATCTAGTGGGAAGAAAGAGAGAGAATAAATTCCAGTCCATAGGTAACACACCTTGATCAAGTGACATTTTGAATATCACAGTCAGTGGGGCTGCGATATATTCGGCAATATGTCTCAAGATTTTAGGGTGTAGTTCATCTGGTCCTGTTGACTTCTCCATGTTTAGGGTGCTAAGAGCCTTAAGCACATCGTTTTGGTCGAAGTCCACGGTGAGCAGCTGGTTTGTTGACTCTGTAATTGGGTCTGGTTCTTCCTCTAGAGGAGGTTCCTGAGTGAAAACTGCCCCAAAATAGTCAGCCATAACCTCAGCTTTTTCCTGATCTTCCTCTATCATTTCAGATTCACTTCCTACTTTAATTAGGTTGGGAATCCAGTGATGCATCCTTGTTCCGTAGTTTATGTGTGAGAATATTCTCTTGGGCTGCTTGAGTGCAGATTCTGCCAGCTGCATTTCATATTTTCTTCGGGCTTCACGAATTTCAGTTATACACACGTTTCTTATCGATCTGTAGTGTTCCATCGTACCTGCTGTGCCAAGGCGGATGGCAACATCCCAGCATTTCTTCTTTTGTCTTAGTAAGCGTCGAATATCCCGCCCTGACCAGGGATGTCCGTGCTTCTTTTTCTTTGGAACTGTCCAGGGTATATATGGTTGAGTTACCCGATTGTATAACTGCCTGAATAGAGTCCATGCCTATTGTTCTGATGCCCTTGAGTCAATTTCCCAGTTCTCAGCCGATGCTGCGGAGTTAATTGCCTCTATATCTGCCTTCCATATGTTAGGACGGGCCGGCGCAATTGTTTGAGAAGCAATTTCAGCCATGAATTTGAATAAGATGACTGCATGGTCACTTCTCCCAAGTGGTGGGAGAAAAGCCGTTTGACCAACGTCATCACCGTGTGTGAAGACTAAATCTAAAAGAGAAGAGTTTCTTAAGTCGTATCTTGTGGGATCTTTAATGTGTTGGAATAATGCTAGTCCAATCGAGGTTTCTAACAGTTTGGAGTCGAACGAAGATATAGATGACTCTACTTCTAAGTTAACCGAGTTTATATATGGTGCATTAAAGTCGCCTACTACAAGGCTTTTACCGTTGTTACACCAGGACTTAAGTTTACTGAGGAGAAAATCATCTGCTACACATTCTGGACTGCGGTAAACTACAACTAATTCAATATCTTGCCTTCGGCATTTCAACTTACATCTCACCAGTTCACATGTCCCTGAAACATGTGCTACTATCTCAGCTAATCTTATGGTTAGGGTACTTTTCGTGTACAGAATAACCCCGCCTCCCCTACGGTTTAATCTATCAGCCCTACTGGTTATGAAACCAGTCAATTGGATTTCACTATCTAATACTTCTGACGTTAACCAAGTTTCCGAGACAGCGATAACGTCCGGTTTTTCTTTATCCACCACTGACTTCAGCTCCGCCCTTTTATTTAGTAGGCTGCGAGCATTTGTGTAGCGCACTTTTAGGTCTGTGGAGAGCTTTCCCTTGCCACCCAGAGTGGCTTGGGGATCGTTTTGCTCCGAACTTTTACAATCTGAAAACCCTTAAGAACGAGGTTTCTTTCACCGTTTCGGCGACGCTCGTTTATTTCCGCTTCTGCAGCCCTTCTCTTAATACGATCAGTTAGGCTGAGGTCCTCACGGACATATATTCCGGATCCAATCAGTTTACGTGAATCACTTAGAACCAGGTTCCTTTCTTCCACCGTATTGAATGTAACCTTTAGGAGGCGGTTTTTCTGAGGACTTTCGGAATCCACCTTTTTTCCTATTCTATAAAGCTTACAAATACTAACTCCTGAAACTGTATCTGGGAGTAGTTTACTTAATGATGTCTTAATATGATTGAGATCATGTTCAAATCTTGCCTTTGGTTCAGTGTCTGAAGATTCTCTTATCTTATGAAAAATGACTGATCTCTCAGAGAGATCTGTCTTTTCACGCGGTGACGATTTTTCTTCTGATAAAGTCCCTTCCAATGTCTTGCTGACCAGCTGCGTTTTGCCTACAGCCTTTTTCTTATTTTTTTTCTTCTTACCGGAGTCCATTTGTCACCACTCAGAACAGCCACACCTGAACTATGTGGAACGGTGACAGTTTTATCCAGATCTTCTATTTCGACTAGAGGTGTATGACTGCCGATGTCAATATCAGGCGACATTTCATTTCTCGTTAATGTCAACGGAGACTTCACGTTCCCGTCAACCGCAGTCAGGTGTTTAATGGGTCCAGTAGCAGCACTTACTACACTGATACATTCTTCATCGTCAGTACTCCTGTTATCAGTGCTTCCGCCATCGTTTTTCTTGCAGGCCAAAGCCAATAGGCCCATAGCCTCCTGTATTAGTACCTTTTTATCCGTACAGCAGAACACACAAAGCCAATGCGAGTTGGGCTTCGAGCATCTTTTGTAAGCCGTCGGACTTGGTCGTGTACACATTTTGTGATACCACTTTTTACAGTCGTCACACTGCATTCCCTCCTCAACGGAGAACAAACAATTTGGTTGCCCACATTTGTGAGTCTTACCAACCATTGTAATTCGTTTTAAAAGGTTTAAAAACAAAAAAAACGATAACAAAGTGAACACAAGTCTTAGTCAAGGACTAAAAACAGGTACCCAGGACCAAATGTAGCAAAAAATTTCAAACTTCAACCAAAGAACTCTTAGTTAAAGTAGACCAAGAATGCTTTTTAGTGCAATAAGTACCAAAAGCAAGTATAATCACAACAAGTACAAAAATCACTGCCCTTTTTGAAATTAGCGGTGATACTATGCTTAGTCCTTAAGAATAGATCAAGTTGCCTCTTAAAGGACGCCAGGGAAGTCGCTTAGACTAACTTGGCCGGCAGCGCGTTCCAGAATTTGACAACTTTTAAGGTGTGGAAGTTGTGTCCACAGTCCGTTCTGCTATGCTGTATCTCCAATTTCTGGGTGTTACCACTTAGATTAGTATTGGGACTAAACTTAAGTAGGTGTTTGAGAGGATACCCAGAAGTGTTAAGGATACTATAATCCATCAGAAGGTTACATCTAAGACGTCTATACTGTAATGGATAAAGGTTTAGTGATTGGAGGCGCTCTTCATAAGGCTTGAATTTGAGTCCTCGAACTGATTTCGTGGCTCACCGTTGGATACGCTCCAGTGTGTCCTTATCCTTTTGGAGTGAGGGAGGAAGTACTATGTTTAGTACTCTAAATGCTGACGAATAGAACCGTTGAAGATTAGGTGGAAAGTTCTCCCATCGAACTGGCTGAAAATGCGCTTCAACAAGGTTTGCTCGAAAGGCATTTTTGTCACAGTTAGAGGAAGA